CTTAAGATATTCAAGCTTTAAGTTAAATGCTAATTAGGAGGTTAATGATGTCATATTTTCATCAGTATGTATCTGAGAGTATTTGATGAATGTTGTTCAAACTTTGAATTATAATTGTATTCAAAGTATGGAACATGTACAAACTGTAGTTGCTATGATAACACACTGGTGTCCAGGCCCCTTTTAGCCATTGCTTTTGTTATTTTTGTGGCTACTGCTTCGTGCGTGAGTGAAACACCAAAGTAAGCCCAAATTGAAAAATTATTTTAGTCCGATACACTTTCGGATATAGCCAATCAGATCATTGTTTTGATGTGACTACATAAAAACTGTAATAACTCTACAAATATTTAATCCAATGTCATTTAAACCTGGACGGACATTCATTGCTGGACATTGGTTACACACAGGTGCCAATCATGTGCCATATGACATCATCAATCACGTGACTACATTAAAACTGTAATAACTCTGCAAATATTTGTCCAATGTCAGTCAAACTTGTATGGATATAAATTGCCGGACATTGCTTACACACGGGTGCCAATCATGTGCTATATGACGTCATCAATCACGTGACTACATTAAAACACTAATAACTCTACAAATATTTGACCACTGTCAGTCAAACTTGTACGGACATACATTGCCAGACATTGCTTACACACGGTGCCAATCATGTGACATATGATGTCACCAATCACGTGACTACATATGAACTGTAATACCTCTGCAAATACTTGACCACTGTCAGTCAATTTTGGATAGACAAACATTGCCGAACATTGCTTACACACAGTGCCAATCATGTGTCATGATGTCACCAGTCACGTGACCACTTAAAAAACTGCAATTGCTCTATAAATATGTGATCAATGTGAGTCAAACTTGGACAGACATACTTTGCTGAACACTGCTGACACATCTCTCAATCATGTGACATACAACGTTACCAGTCATAAAATCTTTATGATGTTGAAAATTGCAGTAGCCACATGCGGTCTTTGACTGAGTATTTTTTTGTAAACCAGTCGTGAAACTTTATACAAACTGTAAAGAATGCCCTGAGAAAAAACTCTCAAGGCAATCAGTCAATCATCAATCTCTACTCACATGCAATGCTTAGTCCAGGAATTCAACCCTTGACCCTCAGAGGTGAGTGTACTACTGCTATGTCACCTTTGATCCCCCTCTTGTTAACCAATGGGTAGCTTGTATCCAAAAAATGTCATTACAAGGTACTTATTTCTTTGGTTTTGTACTTTCTAGGAGACTCCACTTCAGTGAACAACATTCAAGAGGCACATGTGAAATGTTACAGATAAGCCAAAGTAATAGAGTAAAAACATTACTATGTACAACACATATAGCACTAATTTCAAATATTGATGAAATCGTTTTGCTTCATTGTCGTACAATGCACTTTAATGTCAACTCAACCCATCTTTGTTATCAAGCTCACTATGGGTACTACTTTCCTGACATATGCACCTTCAAAATTGTAGAAAAGAAATTTGTTGATAATTTGAAAAACTAGCAATTAGGGCACGGCTAACTCACAGATCAGAAAACTGGAGAACTCAGAAAAACTCTAAGATCACGGTAGAGACCTAACCAAAACTACTTATTTATGATAGTCAGACCTCAGAGGTGACACATGAATTGATTTGTATAGTACTCCACAGCCGATTGCAATAAATTATGGCCATGGTTTGTCATGAAAGACTGAAATATTTGCACCAAGAATACTGCCAGACTACTTTACAGTCAGATATCTGAGAATCATTTATATCTAACTTTCACAAAGATATTTCAATCCGAAACTGTTTAGGTTTACAATATAGATATTGGGATATTAAGGTTTCATTAAAATCACTGGATACCGTCTCATTTAATTTCGTAATTTAACACAGTGCTTGAAAAAATAATGAGACATAAAGAGAAAAATGTTACAATGAAAACATTGAAGCTCGTAGGAGTCCACAATACATGTTGTAGTATGCTTTGTTTAAAGATTATCGACCCATCTGTGGTTGGTACTCATCTCTGATATACTAACACCTGTCTATAGTGAAATACCTACCTCTGGTGTACCTCTAGATTCAATCAATACAGGATACAGGTGAGTAACTGGTTTAAGATAAGTTATAACACTGATAATTATAGAATATAATAGAGAATATTGTACAGACAAATGTAGGTGTATTGTGATACAAAGAACAATGTAGGGTATACAATTTCGTTTACTATTAGTAGGAAAAGTAGAACATTATAAGAGTAGTTGAATAGCCCACTTCCAAGATATGCTTTGCTTGTTACATTTCAGGCTACATGATAAATTGAATTTATTCTTTTCTCCTGTCATGGATCACTGAGCATTGTACACAAAACTTCACACTGAATCCTTTGTGCGTTACAGGGGAAGCATATCTTAGAACTAGGCTATTGATAGTTTAGTGAGTAATGAAGCCATACTACTCTACTTCATAGTATTGATAAAAATTTCGTAACATTTAATTGGATTCATTTAAAATTATTAGTAGTAAATAATAAATCTAACTCTAAACCCTAAGTCAAGGTTTTGCCTGATGTATTTATACATTTACTGTATCTTGTATATCAAGTCCAACAAACCATGGTTGGCCACTCAAGCGAGTTCACTCAAGGTTTATTTTAATATATTTTAAATATTTGGAATTGAAAWTATATTTATTTTACTTAAAATGATTCCTGTGCCTAATATAAATAATTAAAGTATTAAATGACTATAAATGACTATAAATTTTAATAACTATAGAATACACAGTGAGTCTTTGTTACAAGTTTCCTAGTGTTGGTTTCAAGCAGCTTCCAAAAAGGAAGATTGAACTGTGTGAGCTGTGTTATTTGTAACGTAGCAGGCATAGCTCATTTGGTTAGTGAGAGTCCACTGTGACTCCTGTGTCGTAAACATGTTCTCTTCTGCATATCAAATATAGCTGAAGTGCAATGTTTTCAAAACAAGGAAGCAGCTCCCAGGGGTTGTGTTACTTGTTAAGTCTGTTGGAGCTCTATCAGGTTGATAGGTCATGGCCTGCTGTAGGACAGGACTGTTTTTCTCTATTAAAGAAGAGGTGTTTGAGAGTCTAATGTTGAATGCATGGTTAAGGCTGAAAGAAGAGACATTGTCTAGTTTGTTGGAGTAGCAGCAGGTTGATAGATCATGGCCTGCTGTAGAACAGGACTGTTTTTTTCTATAGAGGAAGAGGTGTTTGAGAGTCTAATGTTGAATGCATGGTGAAGGCTGAAAGAAGAGGCATTGTTAAGTCTGTTGAAGCCCTAGCAGGTTGATAGATCATGACCTGCCTTAGGACAGGATTGATTTTCCTCTATAGAGGAAGAAGTGTTTGAGAGTCTAATGTTGAATGCATGGTGAAGACTGAAAGAAAAGACATTGCCTAGTCTGTTGGAGTAGCAGCAGGTTTATAGATCATAGCCTGCAGTAGAACAGGACTGTTTTTCTCTATTAGAGGAAAAGGTGTTTGAGAATCTTATGTTGAATGCATGGTGAAGGCTGAAAGAAGAGACATTGTCTATTCTGTTGGAGCCATAACAGGTTGATAGATCATGGCCTGCTGTAGGATAGGACTGTTTTTCTCTATAGAGGAAGAGGTGTTTGTGAATTTAATGTTGAATGCATGGCGAAAGCTGAAAGAAGAGACATTGTCTAGTCTGTTGAAGCCCTAGCAGGTTGATAGATCATGACCTGCTGTAGGACAGGACTTTTTTTCTCTATAGAGGAAGAGTCGTTTGTGAATTTGATGTTGAAGGCTGAAAGAGTAGACATTGGCCGTTGCAAAGGTTGTTAATTAATGTGGTATGGTTTGTCTTGTGAAAGTCATACTTTGCATTAAAGACTGTTGTCTTTAGTGAATGGGTTTAGAACATGTTTTCTGTAGTGATGAGTATTCCAAGGCAGTATTATATGACAGAATCATACCTAGYTTTGGTTCAACTCWTGGTACRMCTCAKSGTTTATAGRTATCSTYGATTTTCYAGARCAYAAAGATTGTTTCTGWAAGGAGATGCCAAGTGCAGMTGATAAATTTCCTGAGTGAACTTGCTCCTTAAACTGGATATGATTCCTTATTTTTCTTGGGGTGACGCCCCAGATAGATTCGCCTGAAGAAGGTACATAAACGATTGGTCTTGTGACTGGTTATCTTTGTTCTTAATGCAAGGGTGTTATCTGTAGTGAATATTTTTGAAAGGTGTTTTCTGTAGTG